TTTTAAAAGGAACTAGTGAACTAGATTTGAATCAAAATGAACTAATTTTTTTTATTGTAGTGAACTAAAATATGAAAACTATTGAACTAAATTTGAATCGAATCCAAGTGAACTTAAAAAAATTGGACTGTAGTGAACTAAAAATTATGATGAACAAAAAAAGTTCGAATTCAGTTAACTCAAAAAAGAATCCGAAGTGAACTAATTTTTTTTGATTTTTAGTTAACTAAAATTTTGAAACTAGTGAACTAAATTTGAAATAATTGAACTGTATTTGAAATCAGATGATTTTTTTAACGGAACTAGTGAACTAGATTTTGAATTACATTTAAAAAAATAGTGAGCTATATTTGAATCAAAGTGAACTAAAATATGAAAACTATTGGACTAAATTTGAATCGAAACCAAGAGAACTAAAAAAATTGGATTGTAGTGAACTAAAATTATGTTGAACTAAAAAAGTTTGAATTTAGTGAACTAAAAAAATGAATTCGAAGTGAACTATTTTTTTTTGGATTTTTTAGTTCACTAAAATTTTGAAACTAGTGAAGTAAATTTGAATTAAGTCTTCTATTTTTGAAATCAGATGATTTGTTTTTAAAAAAGTAACTAGTCAACTAGATTTGAATCAAAAGTGAACTTAAAAAATTTGAAAACTATTGAACAAAATTTGAATCGAATCCAAGTGAACATAAAAAATTTCGATTCAATGAACTAAAAATTATAATGAACTAAAAAAAGTTTGAATTCAGTGAACTAAAAAAATGAATCCGAAGTTAACTAATTTTTTTCGATTTATAGTTAACTAAAATTTTGAAACTAGTAAACTAAATTTGAAATAAGTGAACTGTATTTGAAATCAGATGATTTTTTTAACATAACTAGTGAACTAGATTTTTAATTACATTAGTTGGGATTTGAACAATAATAAATGTATTTCACTAAAATAAATCAAAAAATTAGTGAGCTATATTTGATTCAAAGTGAACTAAAAATCATTTTGATTGTAGTGAACTAAAATTTGAAAACTAGTGAACTAAAATTTGAAAAACTAGTGAACTAAAAACTAGATTTGAATCTAAATGAAAATGATTTTTGAAAATGAAAAGTTAATTAGGGGAGTGCACTAAAAAAATGAAGGTGAAGTATTTTTTTCTATTCTAGTGAACTAAAATTATGTTGAAGTAAAAAAGTTGAAATTGAGTGAGCTAAATAAATGAATGCAATGTGAAGTAAATTATTTTGGATTTTAGTGAACTAAAAATTTTCAAACTAGTGAACTAAATGAAAATGTTTTTTGAAAATGAAAAGTTAAGTAGGGGAGTGCACTAAAAAATCAAGGTGAAGTAATTTTTTCTATTCTAGTCAACTAAAAAAATGTTGAAGTAAAAAAAAGTTTGAAATTCAGTGAACTAAAAAATGAATCCCAAGCGAGGTAAGTTATTTTGGATTTTAGTGAACTAAGATTTTCAAACTAGTGAACTAAAATTTGAATTTAGTAAACTATATTGAATTTAGATGATTTTTTTTGAAAAAATCGGATCTAGTGAGCTAGATTTATATTGTAGTGAACTAAATTTAAAAATTATGATGAACTAAAAAAAGTTTGAATTCGGTGAATTAAAAAAATGAATTCGAAGTGTACTATTTCTTTTTGCTTATTCATGAACAAATTTTTTGAATTGAGTGAATTATATTTTAATTAAGATGATTTAAAAAAAGGAACTAGTAAAGAAGATTTTGAATTACATTAATGTGGATTTTGAATGATAAAAAATGTAATTCACTAAAATGGGAAAAAAGTGAGCTATATTTGAACTAAAAATCTTTTTGATTGTAAAATGTAAAAGTATGTTGTAAAATGAACTAAAAATATTTTTTGATTGTAGTCAACTAAAATTTTGTTGTAAAATGAAATAAAATGTGGTGAACTAAAAATAAATTATGGTGAACTAAAAAAAAGTTCACTGCAGTTGTGGTGAACAAAAAAATTGCAATTGTGGTGAACTAAAAAAAGTTCACAACAAAAAAATGTTCACTGCAATTCAGTACATACACACTGAATTAAGTATTTTGAACTATGTAGACCCACATGCAGGGGGGTATCATTTTAAAAAGGACAAAAAGTACCACATGGCACATGTTCTTAGAAGCAAAAATCTCCTAGGAGAACTATTACACAGAATTGGTTTTCATATGTATGACGTCTATAATTCATGTTTCCCTTCCAAAAAAAACTCTTCAATCTAAAGAAAAGGTGTTCACTGGGAGGTTGGCAGATCTTCCTCCTTTATCTTGTTGGGCGTGCTTTTGAAGAGACGGTAGGCTGATATCATTCTTTGCTTGGGTACATTCTCCTGTGTAGACAAAAAAGGGTGGTCTTGAAGTTGAAATGCACGAAAAAAACTGTATTAAAAAGACATAAAACAGATAGGTGTATGTACTGAAAAAATAAAAGTGTTATCATATTGCATTGTGAGAAGGGGACCAAAAAATCTTCAATAATTATATAGATTTAGCATAACAGTACTTATCAGCTTAAAAAATGTTTATAAATTAAAATTAAAATTAAATAAATGTGCATAGATTCATTCTGCATATTTTTTCAATTAAACGTGCTGCGAAAAAATAAAAAGATTTCCTATTTCATTTTCAGTACGCTAATTTTTTGTAAAAAAAATATACATCAGACAGTTGTGACAAAACAAAAAAATACCGTGCTGAAGCTTTTCATGACTTTGCCTTCAAAGTTGTCCATGTATAGGGGGAGGTAGTGACCTGAGTCATGCCTGTTGAAAAAAGAAACAACAAATGAATAGAGGCTTTCATATTGAGCCTGAGCAGGACAGAAATGTTTGAAAAAAATCAGAAAAAGATTGAAGATGAAAAAAATGAACAACATAACAACTTACATCAGACAGTTTGTTGGATAGTGCCCCACAGCTTGAAGCTTGAAGTTGAAGACATTCTTGAAAAGCTTATTACTGAGTTTGCAAAGCAGGTTGTAGTTGGAAACCTATTGCATAAATTAAGTACACCGGTTTAAAAAAATAGTGTGTCTTGATGCTTTGTATTTAAAGACAAAACTTGATACAGGAAGAGCTTACCAAGTTGTGGACAATTTGTTGTTGAGAATTTTCCTGGATTGTACCACATGGGTCGAACAAGTGAGTCCTCTCAAATAGAGAGTTCATACAAACAATTACCCAGTGGTTTGACTTGATAGTGGGGAAAAACAACTGTGATAAAAAAACATGAAGGAGAGAAAAAAATTAGCACAAACAAACTAGAAAAAAAAACTATTGTACAAGTCAGATGAGAGTCTCCATAGTACCAAATCCTTTTTCCATAGACTTTCTTCTGAATTTACTCTGTCAAACTCTGTTTTGCAGCTTACTGGGTCGAAAACTTCAGGGCTAACCAATAGTTTATTCTGGGAAAAAAAGAACAGAAAACTAGTTAACAGTGAGGTTTCCTGAGTAGAAAAGAATGCCAAAATTATTGGATAAAAGGAGACACATAAAACTCACAGTGAAGCGCGAAGTGAAACAGAATTTTTTAATAAAAGGTTTTATCTGACATGAAGTCTTTGCTTCCAGGTTGAATGTTTGAATGAGTGAATCCATGACTTCATCTCCAATCTCACCCCTTGACTTGAATGAAGCGAAGAAGTTATCGTAACTAATGGGAAATCCCTCAATGTTGACAAAAAGAGTGCTGCAGACAGATTTTGAGCCGTGAAAAAAAGTTTAGCACTTAGGGGGTGTGTGTGGGTCATCCCCCCCCCCAAAAAAAGAATGCACTTAAGAGTGAAAGAGAAAAATTTACTATTCTTTGAAGATTGGCTTCCTCAGAAATTTGGTGAAAAACAAATCCACCTCTCGAGGGATTTTCAGCCTCTTTGGTTCATCAGGATATTGCACTTTAGCTGCTCTCTTTTTCCTATTCTTCTTCTCAATGGTATTTGGGCCTGTGCTTGATCCAGCTTGTGCATCATTGGTCCTAGATGAACCTATGTGTGACATTTGAACAGCGAAAAAATGTTAGGCCAATCGTCGTTTGAAAAAAATGGGCTAGAGAAATGAGAAAAAGGCAAACTTAGATAATTGCAAAGCAAGACAAGTGAAAAAAAGGGCAAAAAGCTAAAACCTGATTGAAGAGCAACGCCCATGTCTTCCTGTGTTAGAATTAGCCTCACCAAATGGTCTCTCTTCACTGGTAGGTGCACAAGGCGTGAAAGGAGAGTCATCAATTATGATTGGAGTGCTACTGTAATGCTTCGCTCTTTCATTTGATAAGCTAGAACTGATGAGAACAAGACTCCTTTGGTTTATTTCAGTTATTGGGTCCAACTCTTCCTGGCGAGGTTAAGAATGTCTCAGTACAACAAATGTAGTATAGAAAAAAATATGGCTGATCAAAAAGGAATGCTTGGGATTTCATGGATAGTATGTCCAGAAAGTAAATAATCCTTGTATCAGGAAAGCAGAAAAATTAAGCTGGGTGGTAACCTCAACCTTCACATTGTTCTCAGCTTTTGGTGCAACGGGGTCTTGCTTGGTGACAAGTACATCAGGGGTCTGCTCACGAAAAAGATAATAAAATATAAAAGACTATCTTTAGAAAACATGCCTCTAATTGGTACAAATAAAAGTATTTTACATTGGAAATAAAATGAAAAAGCATTTCAAATAACTAAACATGAGGTGTCAATTTGATGCAAAAAAATCATCAGAAAATGGAAAAATGTATTTTCATTATGATGTAAACTAATTAGTCAGAAAAAAACAATACAGGCAAAAAAAGATAAAAAATACCTCTAATTTCGAATGCAGCTCTGGCTTCACTTTACAATCGATTTCATGTTTTGGAGTGAAACTTGTTCCTGCTGACTTGATATCTGGAGTGGTCAAGTTAATTGGGTTGTTTTCATTGATTGTTTCGTGGGCATTGCTGTGAAAATTGACCTGCGTTTTTGGAATGCAACAAATCTATGCTGTTTAGTATAACTGTGTGAAAAAGAATGCATCATAAAATAAGAAGAAAAAATAGAAAGAAACCTCTTGTTGAGTATCAGCAATGTTGCCAATAGGAACTGCATTTGCATACGGTGTTTGAGATATGTGTCTTATCTACAAATTTTTTTAGAATAAAAACATTTTAAAAGTTAGTCGGAAACGAGAAAGGAAGGCTGAATACATAAGCAAAGAAAAAATCCAAAAAGAAGAAAATAAAAGATACTTACTGGTAGTACTCCAAACGCTTTCCTAGACTCATAATTCCTATCAACCAAAGCTAGGTATTGGAAGTCAGCATTCTTAATGTGGCTGATCCGGGGTAGAGAATAATCAATAGTTGACTGGTGGTTCTCGATGACATCAAAGTCAACGAAATCCAGATAAATGATCTGTTATTAAAAAATGAAAAGAAGAAGCAGGTCAGTTTGGAATTGCGAACAAAAACTATGATGAAAGCAAAATAACTTTAGAAGTAAAAATATCTAAAAGAAGCAGAACAAGCAAGAAAAATGAAGGAAAAAGGATTACCCCCCAAATAGGAAGGCAACCGCCAATGTGGGAAGGCTTGTTCATTTCCTCAAGTGTTGGTCTGTTCATTATTATTTCGAAATGACGTTCTGATTCTTCAATCATAAAACCTAAAGCCAATTGCCCAAAGTCCAGTGAAGGGATTACAGACAGATCTCTTAGAGAGAAGAGGAATTTGGTGTTGCCAAAACAGTATGACGCTGGGCAGAGTATAGATGATATGAAATAGAAAACGAAGGTCCTGATGAAACCATCTTCACTCTCGTCACTTAGCATCACTTCCTCAATCTTGTTGATAGGCATCTTGTTCCGATAATCAACATACCTGCTTCTTCACTGAGCAACTTCTGCTTTCACTTGAGGATCGTTGCTGCTGAATACAAAAGGAACAGTACCGCCAGGGAAATCAAAAATCTTGTCTACCATGTCTTTAGTGATCTTGATGACTTTGTTCTTGTGCTTGAAACAAGGCTCTGTAACACCAAAAATGTGCTGATCTAACCACTCAAGGAGATTCATCGGTATGTTTAGGTGATATGGCATGTGAAGCAGGGCATCCATTTTGTATTTGCTGATGTGCCCTAATTGAATCTCACTGAACTTTTTCACTGTCTTGCTGAAGCGCATTGTTGACAACCTAGATTTATAGGTGGGATTGCTTCCTAGGATAAACTCTTGCTGAATAAATTAAAATGAATAACTATTCAGACAGTGAAGACAAGAAGATTTAGTGTAGAAAATAGTATGAAAACGCATAAAAAAACTCCTAAAACTACAGCACTGGATACTGATCAAAAAGAAAAAAAGTTTGATTTAAACATAATTCTTGTGTTTTGAACTTTTAATTGATCAAGCTTTTTCTGCTGATGATTATAAAAAATAAATTTCAGTATAACGAGATTCTGCCTCAATATAGGACAAACTGTCAGGACCCCGACTCAATGCCACATCGATCTAGCATGTAACACCTCATATCACTTTGCGGCCTCACGCACGGTATTCTCACGGGTGTCGCCTTACCTTTGCCCGGGACCGTTTGCGCCTTTTGGCACACGTATATGACAGTGTCGCTAGCATCCATATGATAAGGAGCCCGGGCTGACATGGCTAGTCGTAAACCCAAAGTGGCACAGACTTACAGGGACAGGCATCCATGACCCAGCATCGAACGTGTCGGTCATCAGCGAGTGAATCCAGGCTGTAGCACTGGGCTAGCAGGACTCCGGTGAACCGGGCTGTAGCGGGCTAACAGGACTCCGGTATTCATCGCGTGACATTTCCCCGAAGGGACAGACACAGGAACGAAGAAGGACACATGCCGGCCAGCCTAAGTGTTCCGGAGCAGTAGCAAGCTACCATGGCTCGGTGGAAACACTAGGAGACATTTCCCCGTAAGAGAGGCTACTAAAGATAAACAACTAGATGGTCAGATCCCACACATACCAAGTATTTCAATAACATACACACAATATGCTCGATATGTGCAAATACAACATGGCATCACAAAATGACTCTACGACTCAAGTAGTTTATTCAATAGGCTCCGAGGAGCGAGATATTACAAACATGGGTCTCATGACCCAACACTCAGAGAATACAAATCAAAGCACAAGCGGAAGCTATCATGTCTGAGTACAGACAACTATAAATGAAAAAGGCTGAGAAGCCTGACTATCTACCAGATCCTGCCGAGGGCACAAGATCGTAGCTGAGGTAACAAGCTAAACGTCGAAGTCCACGCGGAACTACTAGCGAGGCCGAAGTCTCTCTGCAAAAACATAAAATAGGCAAACGTGAGTACAAATGTACCCAGCAAGACTTACATCAGAACTATCTACATATGCATCATTATCAACAAAGGGATGGTGGGGTTTAACTGCAGCAAGCCAGCTTTGACTCGGTGGCTAACCTAAACTACGACTGCAATGTAACTCTTTTGAGGTGGCGCACACGAGTCCACATATTCACCATATCAATACACCACTATGGATCCGCTCCCGTCTCCCTACGAGAACGCCATCCATAGCACTCACGCTTATCTTGCGTGTTTTAGAGTATCCACTTTCACTTGTCTATGAACTGTACAAGGGGTCCAAGTTTCCATATCCGAGGAATCCGGCTATTCGAATAGATAATGATAACCCTGCAGGGGTGTACTTCTTCACACACGCTCTCGCCACTTACCGCACTGTACACGTCATGTACCTCGGCAACCTTCAAGCGGAAGCCGGGCGAGGGAGTCGGCCACGACCCGACTAACCGAACAAGTCTCTAGTCCAGGTTTATCGCCTATTCGGGTTCCATCCGCAAGGAGATCCGGCCGGGGTGTCGCTTACGGCCCCAAACGATGTGTGCAGGGTTCCCAAGCCCACCAACCGGGTGCCACTTGGTACACCGGGCCACTGTGCCTAGTCTGTCCCAAGCCCACCTGTACCGGGTGCCACTTGGTAGACTACTAACACTACCTACAAACACCAGAAACTAGTTGCAACTCCTGGACAGAGATCATGTTGATTAATAAGTCGAGAGGGGTCGAGTTACCGGAACCCAATGTGTGGTAGTAACTGGTCATGGATCACAAGCACAGAACTCAGTTCCTGAGGACGGCTGCAATGAGACAACCCACCATGTACTCCTACATGGCCTCTCACCGCTACCTTTACCAAATCGTGTTCACACACTTAGTTCACCCATAGTAGGACATGTTCACACGCCTCTGATTCATCCCCGATGAATCAGACCTGACTCAACTCTAAGCAGTAGCAGGCATGACAAACAAGCATGAATGAGTAGGCATATCAGGGCTCAAACAACTCCTACTCATGCTAGTGGGTTTCATCTAATTACTGTGGCAATGACAGGTCATGCAAGGATAAAGGGGTTCAGCTACCGCAGCAAGTAACAGATGAATCGATGTTGTCCTAATGCAGTAAAAGAGAGCAGGAGCGAGAGAGTAGGATTGTATCGGAATGAACAAGGGGGTTTTGCTTGCCTGGCACTTCTGAAGATAACATTGAGTCTTTATCAGTGTCAACGATCACATCATCGGTATCACGTCTATCGAGAGGGGACAAATACCGGCAACACAGAAGGGAACACAATCAATGCAATGCACAATATGATGCATGATCATGACATGGCAAAATGAATGTGTTTTGAGCTAATGCAACTAAAACCAAATTAAATGAAGTTGGTTTGAATCCAAGATTCAAATTCAAACTTCATATGTGGATATTTAAATGCCCTTTATTTGATTTGTGCTAAACAGCAGCTATAAGTTGTTCTAACATGCATGAAAATGGTACAGATGGATTCCTTGAATTTTTCTGATAATTTTTCATATATAATTTATTTAATTTGGAGTTACGGTTAATTTTCTATGATTTATTGAAGTTTAGGACATTTTCTGAAAATAATAACTCATTTAAGAATTATTTAAATTCCAGAAACATTTACTACGTCATCAATGCGTCACTGTGACGTCAGCAGGTCAACAGACGCTGCTGCTGGTCAAACCTGATGTGTGGGGGCCACACGTCAGTGACACAGGGTTGTTTTAACTCACTGACAGGTGGGACCGGTCAACGGCCACGTCAGCTAGTCAATTCCGACGCGTGGGGCCACTGTGGTTAACTTAAACTAAACAGGGGGTTAACCGTGGTTAGTTAAGGGTGTGGGGCCCACAGTCAGTGGCCAAGGCCTGGGTTAGCGGGGGGGTGGTTAGGCCCTAATGACTGGCCACATCAGCTCTCGCCGGAGTGTAGCCGGCGACGACCACAGAGCACGGCGGGGGACGCCGGACTTGCGCTAGGGGCATCGGATCGACGCGCCAAGGGCACCAGGAGGTAGCCCGCGCCCGTGCGCATCTAGGAGGACCAACGGGAGGTGCGGGGGTGGCCGGGGTTCGCCGGAGTGGAGCCCGAGGCGGCGGCCGGAGTTCGGCCATGTGCGGGGTTGGGCTGCGGCGCGCTAGGAGAGAAACTGATGGTCCAGACGGCATCCGCGGGCCACCAGAAGCGCGCTGGTGCCACGGGTTCGAGCAGAGGGGCTCGGGTCAGGAGAGCTACGCGGCCATGGCGGACGGCGGTGCTCGGGAATGTGGCCGGGGGTGCTACGGCACGGGAACGAGCAAAATGAAGGAGGGAAAATGGAGTGGAGCTCACAGGGGTTGCGACGGTGGCCTCGGGGAGCTCGGGGAGGCACCGGAGCCGACGAATTTGACGAAGGTGGCCGGCGGTCCCGAGGTTGAAGAAGACATCGAGGGCGGTGTTGCGGCACGTCCGGGGCCTCGTGGCTCGTTGAGGAGGTAGAGGGAGGACCGGCGGAGCTTCCTGGGGCGTCGGTGAGCCGTGGGGTGGCCGGTAGCCACGGTGGCTCTCGTCGGTGGCGGCGGCTCCGTTCGGGGAGGGGAACAGAGGAGGGGGAGTGTTCGGGGAAGAGAGAGGGAGCAGCGAGGGAGGAAGAGGGGCGAGGGGACACAAGGCGTCCTCGTGGCGTCGCTAGGGAGGCCGGGGGAAGCAGGAGGTGGCCGGGGCATCGCCAGCGCTCGCCACCGAGCAGCTTCGGTGCGAGGGGAGGAAGACGACAGGAGAAGGGTGGGCTGGGCCGCGCTGGGCCGGCTCTGGTGGGCTGCACGGGTGAGGCCAGGTAACTCTTCTGCTCTGTTTTATTTTTTTTCTGTTCTGTTTTTCTTTTATTTAATTCTTTTGCCACTGTTTTGAATTAAAAATAATAATTCAAACAATGCCAAAACTCCTCTGAATATTTTATATTGCTAGATGGACTTTTCCAAAAGCTTATAAAATATTTCAGGGGGTATTTGAAATTATATTCTAATTATATGAATATAATTCAAATTCAAATAGCTAATGAATTAAATCCAAAATCCCAAAAATAATTCCTTAAAAATGTTCAATATTTTGGTTGGGACCAGAACCCTTACCAAAAATTATCAAACATTTAAGAAGAGCCTTTTGGAGCAATGAATGAGATTTCTAGGGTTTTTGCCCCTCTTTTATTTAGGGTTTTGAGGCTTCCAATATTCCTCAATTCAAGTTTCAAAAATATAGACATGATGCACACATGAAGCTAGCCTAGAGCATTAC